ACACAGCTCAAGTGCACGGTCGCAGCGCAACCACATCAGGAAAATCCCGTGAGAAATATGGGTGATCATGATCAATTACGGATCCCAAAATGATTTTGCGGCATCATACTATCATTAGCCCACCTTTGCAAAAAAAAAGTTGGAATATTTTGCGACATGACTACTGCCTCAATTTACTTGAAACAAAGAATGTTCGGATTCTCCTGCTTCCCAGTAGTCGAGCACTATTTTTCTCAGAGTACATGAAGCCAAACTGAGTTCAGCATAAGGCGAAACTTTTTTTTGCAAAGGTGGGCCTTTTTGATCGCTGGCTTCGGCAACTCCACTGCAGGCTCAATTCGGCCCCAAAGCTCAAATAACTCTGGATTCGACATCTTCCAGTAGGAATGAAACTCCCTGTCAATTCCGAGTGCAAACCGACAAGAATTGCGAGTGTAGGGCCGCCATCAATTTATTTTTGCAAAGGTGGGCTAATGATAGTATTCCCGCCGTCATCGCTCCTGATTGCCGATAAGGATTTCGCGCACTCATACGCCACTCATGAACGATTCTGGGGGCATATGCGTGGATGGAAAGACTGCAAAATAATTCTATGTATACCGTTTGGCAGCAGATATCAAAGTAATTGATATTGGCGCGGGATCTCGACAAAAAGGCAAGGAGCCGATTGCTGAAGACACTGCCGGGGAATCTGACCGTCAGGCGTCCCCGTCTAGGCATCAGCGACTTACACGAGATATGCGCGGTTCCGGATTCCAGTGTTGGGCAACCCCATTCGGAGGGGTTTACCGTTCGTTTGAAAAAGCGGTTCCTTGTGCAGGGTAATCCTACCTACCTACCTCAATATATAAAATAATCCCGCGGTATGTGTGCAATTTCCATTGTGATTCCCACGTATCCATCTCACCGGATCCAGGCTGCTACTTTTTTTTTCCGCCCAAAAAATTATTCTGGGATACATATCGCAGATCATAATAATGCATATGGTGGAAGACCCGGAGGCTAACCATTTTGACGTGGAGGGAATACCCGCCCCCGCGCGACAAAAGGCGGTCTTCGACTGCAGCGGCCCCACGAAACGCGACGCCTCGCCAGCGCGCTGCGTAGCCCAGCGCAATGGCGAGGGCAACCTAGCGCATCCACATGCACCATCAGCGAACGACGAACACCGCGCGAGACTACGGCGCCTCCATAGTAGCGATGCAGCCCCCTCCACGAGGGTACGCAGCCCCACCACAGGGAACCGCCCCACCACCCACCGCCCGAATCTCCGCGTCCACCACCACGGCGCCACAGCGCAAAGCATCGCCGCCCCTTCACACCACAACGACGCGCAAGGCCCTCGCCGCACCCACCTCACACCGACGAGATAGCACCGCCCCACAGCGCAGGAAGCTGACACCAAGCCCGCGCCAGCACGCAAGCATGCACCAGGACAAACTAGCACACCACATCACACCGCTTAAAGCACCAGCACCACCACCCACACCCACCAATCGCCGAGCGGCCCCCCGATCACCTACCAAACCGCCTCGACGAGGCACCGCACGCGGCGAGGAGGCTAGCTTGGAAGGGCCCCACCGCACCAGCCGCACCACATTACACCGCTCCAAGCACCAGCACCAGCAGCCCAATCGCCTGCCAAACCGCCCCAACGAGGCTGGGCGGCTTTTATGGAGGAGCCCGAGCTGGGAAGTACACGCCGCTTGCGCACGACTGAGCACGTCCCCAATCCCCCAGCCAGTCAGCATGCATCACCACACCGAAAAAAAAAACTCCTCCCAAATAAAGCGCAAAAAAAAACTCGAAAAAAAAAACCCCACGCAGATTCGGATCTGAGCTTGGCAAACTCGGCGCGTAGGTGCACATGCACGAGCGGCGCGACGGCTCGCACATCTGCGTCGTCATCGTCACGTCGTCACTGCCGAGCCACAGACGTGCCTCCGCATGTCCGTCCCACCAACTCCGAGCCGCGGGCGCCCTGCATCGTCCCGCGCCCGCCACGACTGCATCAGCGTTGCCTGCAGGGACCACGGGTCTGCGCGCCCTGGCAGTACATGTACGTCGCCTCACCACATTGACACGGCACCGCCTTACTACACCGGCGACACCTGCGCCACGGCGCATCGACGAGCAGAACCCCAATCACCGCATCGCCAAACTACCTTTGCGGCACATGGACGAGGCGGGCCGGCATCGCACCAGTGCTCCGCTGCCTTCGTAGAGGACGCACAGTCATGGCGGCGCGCGGGGGGCAAGCGCCGCCCCAATCGCGCGCATCGACGCGCATCGCGCCGGTGCTGCGCTACTTTCGAGGACGCACAGTCGCGGCAGCGCGCGGGGCCAAACGCCAATCGCGCATATCGATGCTCATCACAGACGCGGAGGTGCACGGGGACGCACATCCGAGTAGCGTGCGCATCCACGGCCCACCCACGTGTATCGTCATCCACCGCAAGAAAAAAAACAATGAAGGAAAGAAGTAAGGAATGAAGGACGATTACGCCATACCGACGCCCACGCATCTCGTCATTCCACCGCCGCCGCTGCGAGCGCCATACCGACACCCTGCAAGGAGCTAGTGCGCCCCAGACAGTCGGTAGTCGGCGCACCCCCACGGAAAGAAAGGAAGGAAGAAGGGTCGCATCGGCCACATCCATAACCGATCACGCCCCCCAAAAAAAAGATAAAGCAGAGGAGGCACATTCGGCTCCTGCTCCCGAGCTTGGCAAACTCGGGGGGACGAGAAAGAAAGGAAGAAAACGAGTGAAAGAAAGGATAAAATAGGATGAGTAAAAGTTGAGGCACGGTGGGATGGGGGTGGGAGAGGATGGGAAAGGAGGAGGGACGGCGGGAGGAAGAGGAGAAGGAAGAGAGAGCGGGGGACGGGGGACACGTGGAGGCGGAGGAAGCGCAGAGAAGGAGACTGCAGAGGGCGGTGCGGGGAGAGCGAGGAAGGATGGGGGATAAGGAGTGGAAAGTGGGAGATGGTGAAGATGTGGAGGTGAAGGAACGAAGAGCAGGAGGGGCGGGGCAGGGAGGGGAAGAGGAGGCAAGGAAGTGCAGAGGATACCGGATGGGTGGAACACGCGGACGCGGACGGGGATGGGAAAAGGCCCGCATCGCAGACTTTCGCGCCGGGGCCGGAGAACGCGCCGTCGATGCCGTGAAGCGAGAGCGAGGGCAGGCGCATGCGGACTTTGACCTGGAGAGGAAGGGGTTAGCGAGTGTGGGGGAGCATACAAGGGCGGAGAAGCACGCCTTGTTGTCCGAGAGCTTCATCTTGCCGCCCTGCGCGTCGAGGAGCATATGCCCATGAGCGTGGCGAGGTTGGTTATGGGGTGGTGCACTGTGTGGCCAAAAACGCCTAAAAGCAAATCCATGAGTGTCACCAATTTAAATACCAGAAAAAACGGACCTGAATGCAAGTCGAGCGTCAGCCTGAAATACCGAGCCTGCGCAGGCCATAGGTCCGCGGCTGGGTGCGCCGTTGAGCCAGCAGTCGTCGCCGATGCACACGCGGTTGACGCCCTTACGTCCTTGAACCAGCCGTCCTTCTCCTTCTCCACCATCCCTTCAAACCAAAACACCAAATTCAGTCCAAAATTCGCCGCTTCTGCTCAAGGTGCGCCGATTCATTGGGAGGGGGGGGTTGGTGGAAGGGAGAATCTGTCCGTCAGATAAGATCTCGACACCGAGGTCGAAGACACGCGTGGACGGTGGACGGAGCTGCGTGTCGAGCCAGTGTGAGGGTTGGTAGCAATAGCAGGGTTGCCGGATTGAGAAGATGTCACGCCGTGACGATTCGAACACCAATATACGTGCCCCCAAATAATAAGCGTGCGCGTACATAAAACTGTAGTGGGCAGATCTAAAATATATTTCGTTCACTGGATCTATGTGAGAATTCGAGGGCCTCACCCCCCCAAAAAAAAGAAGCAGAAATAACGACTTTATGACCCAGGCTCGAGTCTTGCTCGAGTCGAACAAGCGTCTTCTGCATACCTCGGTAGAGTTCGAGAAGCTTGATAAGTTCAGACGCGGACCATCCGCCACTGGGCCGACATTTCTATACTTCGCAGCCCAGTGAAGTTGGTTCAATTAACAGGCGGAATAAAACAATTCCACCATGCCATGGCCCAGGCTCGAGTCGAACGAGCGTCTTCTGCATATGCACCTGACGACGAGAACAAGTTCAGCAGACGCGGACCATCCGCCACTGGGCTTTGTTCTCCTCCCTTGAAACCTAAAGAGATGGGGTAAAATTTGGCAAGCAGGTTAACTGAATAAAAAAAACCCATACTGATCTGCACATGGCCCAGGCTCGATTCGAACGAGCATATTCTACTTAACATCATTGCAATAATTCTACCCGCCCAAGTATCACAGACGCGGACCTTCCGCCATTGGGCCGTTCCCTCCCCCTTTGAAATCTAAATAAATGGGCTGATTTCAATTAGCAAAATGAAAAGAAAAAAAACGGAGTCGCACACGGATAGCCCAGGCTCGAGTCGAACGAGCATATTCTGCTTACGTAGATGAACGGAACAATGTTTCGCATACGTTCCGCGACTGGGCCTATATTTCTATACCAAGGAACTCAGTTGGGTTGGTTGAATGGCAGTTCCAAATGAAAAAAAAAAAAATTGCTTCCACAAACTATGGCTCAGGCTCGATTCGAAGGAGCTTACTTTTCTTTATGTAGTCCACTCATTTACAAAGTTGAGCAGATGAGGAACCATCCGCCACTGGGCTTTGTTCTCTTCCTTTGAGACCTAGAGAAATAGGGTAAATAAGTTCATGTAAAGAAAATGGCGGTAAAAACGAACGGTCCAGGCTCGAGTCGAACGAGCTACTTCTGCTTAGAGCCTCCAGAAAAACTGGCTAACTTTTTACAGATGCGGAGCCATCCGCCACTGGACCTTTTTCTCCAACCTAGTAACTCTGCTAAACAGAGTTGCAATTACCGCGTTGAATAAAAAAAAGCAGGTTGAGATGTATGGCCCAGGCTCGATTCGAACGAGCGTACTCTGCTTACATTAAGCTTCGAAAATTTTACTGAAGAATGGCAGATGCGGAACCTTCCGCCACTAGGCCTTTATGTCCTCCCTCGAAACCTCAATAGATGGGGTGAATCTCACCAACAAATGGTGGAAAAAAAGAAAGAAAGAAATGGTCTAACTGCCATGACCCCGAGTCGAACGAGCTAAGTACATCTGCATAATACTTCATTTGATATATTTTGAAAGTTCACAGACACGGAGCTATCCACTACCGTGCCTCCATTTCTATACCTAGGAACTCCCTAGCTCTGCTAAACAGCGTTGCAATTACCACGTTGAGTAAAAAGGTTACAGATTGGGACTCAAGTCCCAGGCTCGAGTCGAACGAGCTTGCTTTGTTTGACCTCCACGTTCATTGTAAATATCGCAGACGCAGAACCATTCGCCACTGGGCCTACATTTCTATACGTAGAAACTGGGTTGGGTACATGGGATTTGAATCTCATGTTGAATGAACAGGAGACCGAGGAAACAGGACCCAGGCTCGAGTCGAACGAGCTACTTCAAAGTTCGGCAGACGCGGAACCATCCGCCACTGGGCCTATATTTCTATACCTATTAGCAACTCAGTTGGGTTGAACAGCGGAAGAAAAATAATTTCAATCTAACACAACACGGCCCAGGCTCGATTCGAACGAGCGTTTTCCGGCGAGATTCTGTTGCCCACAAAATCTGGCAGACGCGGACCTTCCGCCACTGGGCCAATATCCTGATATATCTATATTTACAAACTGCGTCAAACTGGATGAATTCCAACGCGATAGGAGAAAGGCCAAGGCTCAAATAGAACGAGCATCTTCTGCTTAACTCTATGTAGATTCCCTTCAGAGTATGTAGACGCGGACTTTCTGCAAATGGGCCTTTTCGTCTCACCCACAAATCCTGCGAGGTTGGTTGAATTCGCACAAACTGACTAAAAAAAGGCTTCGAAACACTAGTGCCGGTGGCCCAGGCTCGAGTCGAACGAGCTTGCTTTGCTTGACCTTTCTGCATAGTAGGAACCATCCGCCGCTGGGCCTTTTCTCTCATCCCTAGTACATATAGAAACTCCTTGAGTTGAATAAAAGGTAATGAGGAGCGAGTTAGAATTGTTGAAGCGCAGCTATGAGAGACTAAATAAAAGGATATAGGACGTGAAACATGGCCCAGGCCCGAGTCGAACGGACGTAATCTGCTTGGAAAACAATACAATTCCCTGAACATGTAGCAGAAGCGGACCTTCCGCCACTGGGCCTCTATTTCTATACCCATAAGATTCCTTATGTTCCGTGACCTTCTAGGCTTAGCCTATGGCTAGGCGGTTAAATATATCTAGGCATCGGAGAACTCTGGCTAATCCGCCTAGACAAAGCCTTTCTAGGTATGTGAAGGTATTTGTTTGTCCATCTGCGCAGCTATTCTAACGGCCTACCTGATAATAGTTCATCAGCCGCCATTGTACTTGTACAGTCAAAATAAATCCATTTTACGACTAGAACGAGCAGCTTCCGCTAATGAAACACACTCAGCTGAGTTTCTGCCAACGCGGAACCGGGCCTTTCAAAATTTCGTATCTCTGAAAGGGTGGTTTGAGTACAGTTAAAATATTAATTGGTATATGAAATCTTTTACCACTCCCTCCACTTCGCAATCGCAGCTGGCACCTGACGACAATCAACAATAGAAACCTCAAGTCCCTCGTCACGAAACGCTTCCAAGCGCCTGCCAATTATCCGAGTCTTGATTATACGAACACGGCCGAGGAGGATCTCGACAGAACGCAGGCGACGACAATAGGTGGTATTAGCCACCCGCCACCGTGACTGCACCATGTCCACGAAAGCGGTGTGGCTGAGATGGAAGTCAAGTTGGGAGACAGACAAGGTCCCCCCGATGTTGCATCAACCGTGAGGGCCGAGATGAGGCTATTCATCTCCTCCGCTCCGCCGGAGAAGTCGATTTGGAGGGTGGTCAGGGATGGGTTGTTTTCCAGAAGCGGGGTGATGCTGTCGTAGGAGTCGCACTGGTACAGTGTGAGGCACGTCAACACACAGGAAGACCGGTCGAGGAAGGGTTGGACAGTGTCGCATGCTCCGATGACATAAAGTTCATCGAGAGCAGGAGTAACGAGGCAATCGAGGAATTGGTCATCGTTGACCACTAGACGGCGCAGTACGTGGAGAGTCACGGTTTGGCCCGACTGGGGGCCGTCCTGCAGCCTGCGAGGATACAACTTATCATGTGCCAGAATATTGATGTCGCAGTTGACCAAGTTGGGCGCAGCCCCCAGGTGGCCAAAATGGTCCAGTGGGGTGAATGAAGCGTTATATTCGGTGAGCTGCGCCGAGGGAAAAATAAAGTCGGGCATCCAATAACTGCTGGCCAGGACAACCTTAGATAAACTCGGCGCATTTAGAAATGTATCATTAATCTTGTCTTTCGCTCGGAACGGGATCCGTGGGTCGACAACCAGCTCTTTCAGCAGAGGGAGCCTGTTTCGAATTCGGTCAAATATTTCCAACTCCTCGGTATACAAAGAGCGCCACCGCCCACAGCATCCGATGAGCATCTGTAGACACTCTTGATTTGGCGACCGCCAACCGGTGCTTTTGGCAACCGGTGCTTTTGGCAACAATGAAAACGTCGAGGGGGGAATCGGCTGACCGATGGAGTTGGGCTTCAAGGATGGGTATGAAGTAAATGGGCATGCTCGGTACGAACACGGTAATGGAGGACCAAAGAGTAGGGCATGAGAGAGCTATCGCCCTCCATTGCTGGCATACGTGTCCCAAAATCCAGGGACTACCCTTGAGCTGGGCGCAGAGGGGTAGGCGCCAACGCGACTCCTCCTTCATGTAGGTCTTCGCCGGTAAAGTCCAGGAGAATATCTCGCAAATGAGTTCAGGTGGCAGCGTCGTTATTGGCGCTTCGCGCTCGGATGTGTCGAGAAGCTGCGGCTGAGGCACAGAATCGGAGTGGGAATTTTCAGAGTCTGCAATGGTGTCCATGTCTGAGGATTTGGGTTTATCGCCGGAGATTGGCGTCTGGAACAAAATGACTCAAAAGAAAGGGGTGGATGTCGAGATGGGTTGCTGTGTTCATGTTTTGAGTTGTAATCTCGACCAAAGCGCGGCTATTGCCGAAGCCTATGTTACGAATGCCTTGAAATTAAATGGACTTCAACGCGCATCTGTTCAAGCTGGACAGCCTATAACTTCGTACTTCGGATTTCCTTTAAAACTTCAACCGTAAAATAGCTACCAACAACCGGCCCCCAACTGATGTGTGATAGTACTTTGTCGCAAAAGCAACGCAAAAGCCACTCTTGAATCAGAAGCCAAGATAGTGCCTTTCTGAACCTTATAGGCAAAAGAGGCGGGGTTATAAGTATTTATAAGGCGCTATAACCCTGCGTGTTTTGCCTATGAGATTCAGAAAGGCCCTATCGATGAGGTTGTATCCCAAATCGAATATTTGCGACATTGCCTTCAGATTTTCTGAGTTCTCGCGGATGCGGGCCGGTGAGTTGGTAAATACATCTGGCGCAAAGGGGACACATATGTCCCAGGCTCGATTAGAACGGTCTTTGGTCAATTACAGACTTCAGCCATGAGTTCTCTCTCCGTATTTCGCGTTGATCTGATCTTGTCATTCTTGGCTTTCTCATCCGTTCCCTGTTTTTACTTCTTCGTATCCTCCATATTCCTCTGATCCTCTAACCAAGTAGATTGCATCTACCTACTGAAATACATCCTAAATGAAAGCTGTTAGTACTCTCATTGTTGACCCGAAATAAAGGTGTCATGCGAGGAAGACTCAGTGGAATGGTGGAAGAGAAAGAATAACGGCGACCTTTCCAACATCAGCCCATCGATCAAACCAAAGCTTTGTTGCCTCGAAACTAAAGCGGTAGGTATATTCGTGGATGAAGTCACCGAGAAAAAGTTGAAATGTAACCGCCAAAAGTGCTTGCCACAATTTTTTCTTTTTTGGATATCGGTTACAGACTCTACGGACGAGTAAGCATGCACCGTTTTTAATAATCGCAGATGCAAAATCACCCGCCACTGAGCCTACCCAGATACTGAGTTTGGTTGGTGCTGTTAAACAGGCATCGGAGAACTCTGGCTAGTTCGCCTAGACAGAGCCTTCTAGGTGAAGGTGCGTCTAGGTCTTCGTATGTCTGGTTAGCTGATTATACATCTGCGTAACTATTTCTACGGCTAGAACAGGCAGCTTCCGCTAATGAACCACGCTCAGCTGAGTTTCTGCCAACGCGGAACCGGGCCTTCAAATATTTCGTAGCTCTGAAAGGGTGGATTGAGTACAGTTAAAATATTAGTATATGAAATCCTTTACCACTCCCTCCACTTCGCAATCGCAGTTGGCACCTGACGACAATCAACAATAGAAACCTCGAGTCCCTCGTCACGAAACGCCTCCAAGCGCCTGCCAATTGTTCGAGTCTTGATTATACGAACACGGCCGAGAAGGATCTCGACAGAACGCAGGCGGCGACAATAGGTGGTATCAGCCACTCGCCACCGTGACTGCACCATGTCCACGAAAGCGGCGTGGCTGAGGACGCATTTTCGATCCGCCCATGAGATGGAGGTCAAGTTGGGAGACAGACAAGGTCCCCCCGATTCTGCATCGATCGTGAGAGCCGAGATGAAGCTGCTCATCTCCTCCGCTCCGCCAGAAAAGTCGATTTGGAGGGTGGTAAGGGATGGAGTGCTGTGCAGAAGCGGGATGATGCTGTCGTAGGAGTTGCACTGGTACAGAGTGAGGCGCGTCAGCACACAGGAAGAACGGTCGAGGAAGGGTTGGACAGCATCGCATGCTCCGATGACATAAAGCTCATCGAGAGCAGGAGTAACGAGGCAATCGAGGAAGTTGTCGACGCTGACCACTAGACGGTACAGCGCGTGGAGGGTCACGGTTTGCCCGGACTGGGGGTAGTCGTGAGGATCCATAGTACTATCATGCGTCTGAACAGTGATGTCGCAATGGATCAGGTTCGGCGCTGCGCGCAAGTGGCCGAAATGGTGGAGGGGGGCAAACGAGGCCTTATATTCCGTTAGCTGCGCCCAGGGGAGAGTAATGTCAGGCGTCCAATTACTGCCGGCCAGGACAACCTTGGATAAACTCGGAGCATTTAGAAACATATCATTCGATTTCACTCCGAGAGACGGGGCGACAATCAGCTCTTTCAGCAGAGGGAGATTGTTTCGAATGGGGTCAAATATTTGGCCCAACAAAGCCTCGGTGTAAAAACACCGCCACCGCCCACAGCATCCGATGAGCATCCGTAGACACTCTTGATCTCCCCAACTCCGACCGGAGCTTTGAGCAACAATGAACACATCGAGGGGTGAATTGGCTGACCGACGGAGTTGTTCTTCAAGGATGGGTATGGTGCGAATGGGCGGCGTCCTCGGCACGATCACGGTAATGGAGGACCAAAGAGTAGGGCACGAGAGAGCTAGCGCTCTCCATTGCTGGCATACGTGTCCCAAAATCCAGGGACTACTCTTGACCTGGGCGTAGATGGGTACGTATGATGACTTCAACTTGACCCCATCATTCATGTAGGTCTTTGCGGGTAAAGTCCAGGAGAATATCTCGCAAATGAGCTCAGGAGGCAGCGTCGTTATTGACGCTTCGCGCTCGGATGTGTCGAGAAGCTGCGGTTGAGGCGCAGAATCAGAGTGGGCAGAATTTGCAGAGTCTGTAGTGCCGTTCATGGCCATGGACGTGGATTTGGTCGAGCAAAATGACACGAGGTTGATGTGTTCATGTTTTGAGTTGTTATCTCGACCAAACCGCGGCTGCTGCCGAAACCCCTATGTTACGAGCACCTTGAATTAAATTGACTTCAACGCATAATCTTTTCAAGTTGTACAGAGCTACTGGGCCTATAATTTTGTACTTCGAAATTCCCTTAGGACTTCAACTGTAAATAGGGAAAAGTCTACCAACAACCGGCCAACTGATGTGCGATAGTTTGTCGCAAAAGTCACTCTTGAATCAGAAGCCAAGATAGTGCCTATCTGAATATTATAGGCAAAAGAGGCGGGGTTATAAGTATTTATAAGGCGCTATAACCCTGCGTGTTTTGCCTATAAGATTCAGAAAGGCCCTATCTGAGGTTGTATTCCAAATCGGATATTTGCGACATTGCCCTCAGATTTTCTGAGTTCTCGCGGATGCGGGCTGGTGAGTCGATAAATAAATCTGGCGCAAAGGGGACAC